GATCTGCTCGCCAGCGCCCTCAGGCGGCTGGCAGCTGAAGGACCAAGCTGCTCATCGGAAGAGCCTCCCCACAGGCAGCTCACTTCATGACAGGTGGCTGCTCCCAGTTACGCAACAAGAGCAAGGTTACACTCAAGCCGCTGGGATTCTTTGTCATCTAATTATGTCATCGCTTCTGCCACATCCTATTGGCTACCCAGACTAATCCTGGTCAAATGGAGGAGGCTGCACACGGGGAAGAATGCAAGGAAGTGGGTGATTGGCGGCAATGGTGCTAGTGTCTGCTGATGAGAGTCCGCGTTTGACCTGTCATCCTAAGTCTCAGAATTAGGACCACTCCTCTCCTGCCCTGGATACACTCTGTTAGGCCATCAGCAACCTTCCTGTAGCTTCTAGTTGTTTGTTTTTAATGGACATTTCTTTTAAAGATGTATTCATCTTTCACTTGAAAAGCAAAGTTACAGGCCTGGCACAGCAGTCTAGTAAAGCCCTCGGTTTACATGTGCAGGAATCCCATATGGGCACAGGTTCGTGTCCCAGCTGCTCCACTTCCCATCCAGCTCCCTGCTTGTGACCTGGGAAAGCAGCAGAGGACGGCCCAAAGCCTTGGCACCCGCATGGAAACCAGGAAGAAGCTCCTGGCTCCTGGCTTCAGATCGGACTAGCTGTGGACTTGGGAAATGAACCAGCAGATGAAAGATCTTTTCTGTCTCTCCTTCTCTCTGTAAACCTTTCCGATATAAATAGATCAATCTTAAAAAAAAAAAAAAAGCAGAGTTGCTGAGACAGAAAGAGAGGGAGAGAGAGAGAGAGAGAGAGAGGAGACAGGGAGATCTCCCATCTGCTGCTTCACTCCCCAGACAGCAGTACAACCCAGAGTTAGGATGGACCAACGCTGGGAGCCAGAAGCTTCTTCTAGGTCTCCGACATGGGTGCACAGACCCAGGGACTTGAGCCATTTCTCTGCTGCTTTCCCAGATCAATGATCAGAGAGTGGGATTGAAATTGGAGCAGCCAGGCCTCAGACTGGTACCCCTATGGGATGTGGGTGCTGCAAGTGGAGGCTTGGCATGCTGCAACACAGCAGCGGCCCTTCCCGTGGCTTCTATCAGCTCGGGAATGTAGATAGTAATTTCGTCGACCTAGGCACTTCTGTCTTGGCTTCTGACTTGGCATTTTCACATCCTGCCAGACTTCTTCATTGGGCATGTCCCATAGTCACAGCTGTTCTGCACCCCACATTTCCAGAAGACGAATCACCATCCGCTCACTCACCTCAGCTGGACACCTGTGCCTAAAACTTAAATGTAATAGTGATAGCCACACACACTCAGCCATAGATGCATTTGCTCAGACCTTAACACATGTGCTTTTCTTAGAAAACATTAGAATGTAAATAGAATGTTCCTCTCTGAGCCCCCCTCTTACTTGCATTGTAAAAAGTTACATTTTCTTTTTTTTACAGTTACCAGCTGTGGGAAGGGGTTCCTGCCACATCTTACATGATAAGTTTCACCCGAATGTTTGCCAATGATTGTTTCAGAAGCAAGTCACCAGAGTAAATGTTGTTATCTAACAGACTGAGAGGAGTAGGCTCAATCAGTAGAGAAAGGAAACATTTTTATTATCTGCTGTGCTGTCCCACTGTGGGCATCCTCCGTATCATTATCTCCAAAGAGAGGGTGAAGTGAGCAAGGGGTCAACGTTCCCAAGCAGCTGGGTACTGCAGGAAGCACTTTGTAAGCACTGCATTGAGTAGGATCAGAGGGCTGCAACATGCCTCGAAGACGAGACCACTTAAAATAGTCATAGCGGCCCGAGCTTCTCCAGGGAGCCAATTATACACTTGTCTAAATAGCTATGCATCCTGCACCAGCTCGGGCAGCCCTTGTTTAGAACAAGAAAGCAATTCAGAGAGTAACGTGACTGGCCCATGTCCTGTGATGAGATCTTAATTAAAATCCTACCAAGCAATCTCTCTGAATTCCTTTCCCCGCAGTGGAGCGAGCAGTTTTTCTTTGAGACAGGTGTGCAACAACAAGCCCTCACAGTGCGTCCTCAGATGGCTCCCACACCGGAGCACTGGATCACAGCGCCATTGTGTGCCCAGCATAGTGGCACTCGGGGCTGCAGGCCGACGGTGTCCTTTGCCTGAAGCTCATCAATTTGTCTTGTGAGCAGAGTATCCTGTTATCCCAGCGCCATTTGGACATGACTGCAAACAATTCTACTTTAACCACCGTGGTTGGGCCCTTTATGAGCTCATGAATCAAAGCACACAATAGTGATCAAAGAAAAGCTTCCCGCGTGACTCATCTTTCAAGAAGAGATTGTTCATGTCACAAACATTTTTGCCAAACAACAAAAAAGAAACAAAATCAGAACAAAGCATGCTGTTTTAAAGATTTTAATACAAGTTTTTTTTTTAAAAAGCTAACCACATTATGAATTTTGAAGAGAAAAAAAATTAGGAAAAAACATAAGGTAGAATATTTTAAGTTAGAAAATTTGAAATTTAGGTACGGCTTTTTCCTGATATTTTTTCATTACTTATTTACATAGCTTTTAATAAAGCTGTTGTTTATAAATTCTTGGTCACACAGCTGGATCAAACCAACAAGCAAGCCTCTCGGCCTGACAAAGACACACTGCATCGGAGCTGCAGCTCGGCCCACTTGTGAGACCTTAAGGATTGGAGTTTTGCTCTGACACAGTAAAAACAAGTCATTTCTAGAAGCGCCTTAGAGACTGCATGGGAACAGCAGGTAGCAAGCAGTGGACCAAAGGAAGCTTGCAGGAAGCCGTATTTCTCACAAGCATGGAGAGGCCATACTCTAAGGGCACGGACTCTGGCGTTGCGCTAAACAACCTTGGGTTGCTTTCCCTGCAGCCCAAGTCCCCTCGGGGACTCCGGCCCAGCTGAAAGACAGGAAGAACAAGAAGACGTGTCCAAGAGTCCCAAAGCACTGAAACAGAAATTCATGTTTGTTGTTTATTGTCAAGACATGCTTGGCGAGTAAACCTGACTTAAACTCAGCTGTGGCTTTTCCTAAACATTATTTACCAGTAATTGTGAACACTCAGAAGTCATGCCCCAGGAATGAATATTAATGGACTGGACCATGGGGTGCTGCAGGTACCACATTACCTTTTGAAAACCCTACACTGATCAGTATATTTAAATATGCTAAACACTAAGCAACGCAGGAGGACCCAGGCCTTTTTCTTCATGGTGCTGTGACGACCAAAAGGAGCTCCCGTGAGTGACACATGAGAAGGTGTCAGTTACTTGAAAAGTTATGTGTAGTTGCACTTTCTCAATTTTTGAAATCACCAGTGAGTGATGGAGGGTCACGGGGATCCTCCATCTGCCAGTTCACTCCCCATACAGCCACAATCACCGAGCCTGGGCCAGGCTCATGCTAGGAGCCAGGAATTCCACTTGTGTAGCAGAGGACCAAGTACCTGAGCCATCAGTTACTGACTTCTCAAGTCCACGGGCAGGAAGTCAGATCCGAAGTAGGGAACCTAGGACTCGAACCGACACTGGGACCCTGGTGCTGTCACTAGCAGTTTAACACTTCTGCACTTACGGCGATGGTCCCTTCTCCGTGTTTTCACTTCAGTTAGCTAATGTTTTAAGTTTTTTAAGATGAAATTGGAATTCATCAGTGACTTGACCCATGATACAAATCCAAATGAGGATTTCGACTCCTTAAAGTGGCAATTCTTCCTTCTAGAAGTATGAATGCCTTGTGCACGTACTTTTTGTGCCAGTTTTTTTTTTTTAAACTATTTTACAGAGTACGACACCCCTTTTAAAACCAGCAAGATATTCCCAAGACTGGCAGGTCAAATGGAAAGTAAGCAACCAAGATCTTCAGGTGTTGACAAACACACCTCATCGTCAAAAAATCTGAGACACACACCCAACAGCTTCATAGAATTCGGTATGATGATGACAACATCTGGTCCACCGTGTCAGTCCACGAGGCTAGCTCGCACTTCGCCTTCCTTGACCAATAACTTCCCTCAGACCTCATGGACTCTGCTGTGTACAAGCATTCTAATTGTATTAGTACACTCATGAGATGTGTTTTTCCCCTTCCGAAATGTTTGGACAGGGTGTAAGAAACCCAGGGTGGCTGCTAAGTCTACTGGGAGCCAGCCCAGTGACCTGTACACAGCAGAATGCTGACCACTGGTCTTGTGTGGTCCTACACAATCTCCATCCTGCTCCTGGTCACCATCTTGGAAGATGATCACTTACGTCCAAGCTGTCTACGACTGTTACTTGGCCTTGACTCGCACAGCATCCCCTGGTGTGGCAGTACACAGGGTCTTCACTCGGGCAGTGCTGCTTTCCACACAAGACAAGCATGTTGCTGAACTCTACCTGTTCAGTGTCCTCCTCCCCCACCGACTCAGTAGGTTTTAGACCACAGTCGTTCCAGACCACTGTGGGACATCTGATCTCCTGTCTTCTATCCAGTAGGTCAAAAAAATGCCAGCGTTCTGAGTTGCAGGATTTATAATTCTTTAGAAATCCTTCCTTATGCTCAATCCGCGTAAGAATCAGCACAAGAAGTCTGGTGTATTTAACGACTCCAGATTATTCCTATCTGAAATAGTTAGTGCTTCTGGGTAAACCAGATGTATAATTTCATTTAATTTTAATAAAGTTTAAATTGACATACCCACCAATGGCTAGTGGGTACCATATTCCAAAGGAGCAAGATCAGGAATAATAACCAACAACTTTTTGGTATTACAAATCAAGGAGGCTCCCAATGCATACTTGGCAACAACCTGTGGTTAACATCCCTCCTTTCTGGCTCAAGTAAAAACGAAAACTAAAGATCAATAAAAGTAAAAGAAAACCCACATGACTTCAACACCAATCTACCTTGAGTGTAACTATTAATTTTTAATATACAGAAGCGGCATAGCCAAAATGTAAACGGAAGGCAGCAAAACAAAGAATTAGGAAAATAAGCATATTAGAAGTTAATTATGTTTAATGCTTAAAAGTCTGAATGCACAAACAATCTACCATTAGAAGTACTGGCAGTCAATACAATGCATTAGAACTATGTACAATGCACAGTTTAGTATCAAAATCTTTCTACACTGTGGAGTTTTACGAAACTGTTAATGACATCAAACACTAAGCACTTAAGACACCGGTTTTCTTCTGCTACCACATTAGGAACGTCAATGGACAGTCCATTTCAACTTGCAGCATCCATCCATTTCTAGTATGAAATTAAGTCATTTTCTACTTATACAATAAAGTTTATCTACATGGTTCTTTTGATTTTTGATCCATAGCAGCAAAGGCACTGTACATCAGCAGATCCACAGACTTAAAAAGATTTGTAAAGCATTCAAACATAAAATAATAATAATAAAAAAAAGGAGTCACATATTATAGTTTAACAGCAACAACAACAACATAAAAGATTAACACAATGTTTCTGGCACAATGGCACAGCCTGTGTCCATTTCAAGGAACATCCAACTAAGACATGGAAAGAACCGGAGGGAAAGGAGCCAAGCCCTCCTCCCAGGAAAGGGTCCATTCTCTGTGCTGGCAGGGGGAGGGCTGTGGACTCTCCTCGGCTGTCCTTGTCGTGTGCAAGGCCTGATGTGCACACAGCGGCAGGGGTCCTCCTGTATCCGTGCTGCTCCATGAGAGCATGCCACAAAGTAGCTGGTAATTTCTACTCGGAGATGTACATCTCCCTTTGCAAAGAAACATGGCAAAAAAATATCCAGAAGGGATTAAGTTCTCTCTTTGAGGCCCAATTTAATTTGTTCATCTGTCTATAATACATACAATAAAAAAAGGGAATTAAAAACGTTATTACAAAGACGCTTGTCAGTAAGTCAAAAAAGGAAAAGAGGAAAAAGTCCAATTACTTTTATCCAATATAATCTAAAGCTAGAGAGGCTGGTTTCAATCGTCTGAATGGACTCAAATGAACATGACTTGGCCTCTCATGTTTTAATTATTCAGCCAAAATTCCAAACTTCTTCAAAGTAAGCAGAAAACCGAAACAAAAAAACCTAATAACACAGCAACATATTGCTTCCATGTGTAATTATACATCTCATGTCTCTATACAGTCATTAGCCTACATTTAATGACATTTGAATCAATTCTCTTCAACTTTTCTTTCCCCTCCTTTGTCAAGAAAGGGGGGGTGGGGAGCGGGGTACCAATTCGACGCACCTTCAGGATCAACGCGGGAGCAGATAGCTTTATTTAGTCATTGTTAGAAAGCCTTCTTTAAACAAAATAAATATATTACAGATATAATACATCATTAAAGATCCCGGCCACTGCTCAGTATGCTATCCCATGTTCTTCCTAGTAGACGGCTGCGGATTTGGTATCACAGGTTCTTAAGGAATATTCACAATTCAACAGCAAGGAGGAAGTGGGGTTCAGGAAGGGCATTACACTCCACAACTGCAATGAGTAGCTGAAATCCTTGGTTTTAGATGTGGGGGCGGGGTGAACATAAAAGGATGAGAGCGCAAAGTGCTACAAGGAGGAGGAGTCCAGTCTGCACGAAGGTCTGTCCTTAATAAATAACTTCATAAACCGTGGCCTTCTTGTCCCCAGAGCCAGTGACGATGTATTTGTCATCCACAGAGATGTCGCAGCTAAGCACCGATGAGGATTCTTTGGACTATGAAAGAAACACGGGATCGAAATGCTTAAATACGGAGAGCAACACCAGTGAGGACGGGGACTGTAGGACTGGGGGAGTGGGAGGAAAGGAGGAGCTAATGTGATCCACCGGCCAAAGGGGGTCCCACAGGGCATCGCAGCTGCTTGGGCGGAACTTCCCCAAGCATGGCAGTGTGCAAGCGCGTCCCTTCCTGGGGACCCCTCACCAGGTTTATCGGGAGGTCCTTGCCCGGGGGTGTGAGCAGTACTGCTCACGATGCAAGGCTCTACTTCAAATCTTGTTTTTCTGCCTAAATCACAATCCAGGCTCTTAGTTGGAACACCCCGGACACACTCCCCACACACTGGGCTTAGGGAAGCTCCCCAAGGCAGCTATCACAACTAACAAACAGCTAGTATACACACATAAGACAGAAAAATTACGCTTGGTAGGAAAGATGCCTTTGCCAGTTCATTTGTTTAAAACAGTGCCGGGGTGGGGGAAGGGGGAGAGGGATCATAGAAAAGTTTCGATCCACAATGCAAAACTGTCTATTAAACTGTAAAGCAGCATGAGGCAGCACTGTGCCATGCTGTCCCGCAGATGATCTTACTTCATGTTTTCACTCAATATTTATTCTTTGGATTCAACTCCATGAATTGACTCCATGATGAAGTCATCATATCCTTAGGTCAAGGGAAGTGCAACTCTATATATGATTTATTAAAAAAAAAAAAAAGAGCAAAGAACACAACAAAAAACACCCACCCTAAATATACAATATTTAATTATAGTAAGTTAAAAAATGGAAGTCTCTAACTTGCCTCTGGAATTTACACTCTAGTGAGAAAAGACACATTGTGTCTATGTGTGTGCCATGTCTACATTTGAGTTCTCTGCAAATCACTTCACAAATAAAGATTCTGAATTGACCGAAACAATAAAAGTTTCCGGAAATAATAAGGATTTATGAAACTTTCCTGTAACTCTGAAAAAAGGTATGAAAGAGTAGGCAACACTAGTGAAGAGTACCTAAGCAAAAATGGTCATGTTTCAAAATTAGAAAATTGCAAAGACACCCTTCCCCCAACAGACACTCACATTCCACAGAAGTTCTAGAATCTCTCCTCAAACTGTAAAAAAGGGACCGCCGTGTGGAGAGCTGGTGCGCCAGACACAGGCTGGGCTCAGGTCTTGAACACTGGAGCTCATCTCCAGTTCTAGGGTTTTCTCACCACGACAGACACCTGCCTACCCTCCGACCCACCCTGGGATGAACCCCAGCTCTGCCTGCCCGGGAGGATCACGTGGATTAGTAATCAGAGAGGAGGCACAGTGGCAGTCTGGCTGAACACCCTCCAAGCCCTGACAACAGAAATGCGAGCTGAACAAGTATTACCTGGAATATACTGGCCCCGTAAGGTGTCCTCCAGGCGTTCAGGAGGTTGTCTTTCCCAGTGCTTACAAACCACTTGCCTGTGGAAGAAGGTTTTGAAAAAGGCACAATGTTTACCCAAGATCAGCTTTAGGAGCAGTCAATGGTTCAGAGGAAAATCACGCCACTGTTTACAAACAGGAGGGTTTTTTTTTTTCCATTTCAAATATCAAGCCCGCCCTCCTGAAATGTAAGGAGTCATTTATATCCATGCATACATACAAGGATTCAGTAGGTCAACACCAGCCAATTACATGGCGTGACAGCAGCATGCTTGTTTAAAAAAAGCAATCAAAATCTAAAGAGAGACATGTTCGTCAACCCAAGGACCTGCCAGAACTTCGAAAGAGTTCACAGGAAGTGACTGAAAATTGACAAAAAAAAAAAAAAAAAAAGGCTGGCTTACCACAGTGGGCAAACTTGAGTGACAGCACACAGCTCTCGTGCAGATGTAGCTGGTATTTGTCGGGCTTGGTGACATGCAAGACTTCCACGTTACTGTTCTCCATCCCCACCGCGAGCCACTCTCCCGTAGGGCAGTAGCCCAGAGAAAAGATCTGCAATGAAAACAAGGCATGGTGCTATAGCCCCAGGAGATGCAGTTCCTCTAACTGCTCAGGGGCAATTGTCAAGGAAATTAACGTAATTTGAATTGCATGGGAAGAAAGCAAAGTCAAATGGGGGATTTCAAAGTAATTCCAAGAGGTAAGTGAAAGTGCCTTTCTTAGTCAAGTTTCACAAGATGTCTAGTCAAAGGTCCCAGGTGCGCAGGTCCCCACCTGCGAGGTGAAGTCGTGCTGCTGCAGCTGCCTGCCCTCGCGCAGGTCCCAGGACCTGACCGTGTTGTCCAGGCCGCCCGTCCAGAGCTTGGTGCCGTCGTTGGAGATGTCGATGCAGCTCGCTCCGTCCGTGTGGCCCTGGAATTGCCTGGAAATGTCCAAATATAGGAAAAGGCATTGGAAGGTCGGCTGTGAGGTTAATTTCTCTTTAGAATTCCGTGGCAATCAATTTCAACAGAGGTCTTATTTCTGGATTCCCACTTGGTTTATTTCCCAATGTTCTATTTGCTAATTATGATCTAATTGTTGAAAGTACTAAAGCATATGACTGGCCTTCTATATCCACGTCTATATTTCCAAGCAACTCTAGATAAAATAATGTTCAGAAAAGCCAGACTGTAACAAATGCATATAAAGTTTTTTCCTGTCACTCTTCTCCAAACAATACGGTATGGCAACTATTTACCCAGCAGCTTAGCTATGGTTTAAGCAGAAGGAACAGATGTGCAGGTTATGTGTCAACACAAAGCCATTTTATATGAGAGCTGAGACTATCTGTAGATAGAACTGTGGGGGGTTCTGGAACCAATTTCCCCAGGGCAGTCAAGGAGTAACTACATAAAATGATTAAAGTTTAAGATACTGAATTCCCCATATTTTGCACTCATTTTGGAAAAAATACTTATGTTTTCAAAATACTCAATACTAAAACAAGACTGATATTACTGATGGAAAAAACATCTCCAACGGATAGAAAAAGACACACACTCCTACGTGTATATGAACCAGTCAAGGATATACTCAGTCTTTTCTTTCACATGATATGCAGGTTAGAGAGACTGCAAGAGGCCCTAAGAAGCCCTCTGTAGGAGACAGAGCCCGACTAGACACTGCCTGTGGGCAGTAATGGGCTGCAGGCCAGCAGGCCCAAGCTCTGCAGGAAAGCCCACCGAGGGCTACTCTGGAACCCATTGCCCCAGGAGTCATTCCCAGCTAACAGAGAGGGGAGGAGGGGCTAGAAGGATCTCCTCTTAGGAGCTGAACCCAAAAGCAATAACAGGGAAAATTAGTGTGTTTCCAGAAATACAGAGTTCAGCCCTACAACACCGCTTACGGAGAGCCAGCACAGGGCTCTGGACCCACTCAGCGGACTTGGACCTAGACCTGACATCAACTTCCCATCCCGCAGCGTCTCTCCCAGCTTGCTGCTGAACTGCAGGTGCTCACATCTGGACACTCATCGCAGGCTTGTTCCTAGCGACACTGGCCCTGCACTGCTTCCTCTCCAAGCACACATTGTGGTTCTGCCCATTCAGGATTAATGCTGCGAATACAGACACGCTGGCCCACTTCAGGTCGAGAGCACTCACTGCAGTGCTTGGTCTGTGACCGGTGCTGAGCACAGTGAATATGCCACATACAGATGGGACACGAGAGACAGGGTCACATGCAGTCTTCCTAATGACGATCTATCGGCAGTGATGGTTTATTAGCGAGCACAGATGGCAAATTACAGCTGTCTCATAAATTCGTGAGGTCATGAGAAAGTTATGCAGAGTCATTAAGTCAACCTGACCTCATCTTTTTTTAAAACCTGAATTGTTGACACTTGGCATGTGATGTCAAAAATGTCAACCACACGAAAACCTGCTGTGTACACACAGAGCCCTTCAGCCTGCGGTGGCAAGGCCAGCTCTTCCCTCCGAACGTGGCAGGGGATCCCAGTGGCTCACCTCACGAGCGTCTGGTTGTGCAGGTCCCACACGGCGATGTTGCCGTCGCTGCAGCAGGAGAAGCAGACCTTGGAATCGGGGCTGATGGCCAGTGCGTAGCAGGCGGGGGCCGAGGACGTGAGCTCGGCCTTGATGCGCGGGGTGGGAGCTGCCAGGTCCCAAATGGACAAAGTGCTGGCCTCCCCTCCCACTATGAGGGTGCGACCATCGGGGAGCAATCTGCAGGAACGGATGTAGTTATCCCTGTTCTGCAGAGGGGGAAAAAAAAACCATCAAGAGATTACTCATGAGGAAAGAAAAACAGCATTAACATGAGAGCAGAAATCCATAAAAGTATTGTGTTCCCTCCTGGTTTAATGAGCCATTTATACTTATGACAATGATAAAGTTGATTAATGCTGGAAAATTACATGAAATTAGGGAAGCACTTAAACTTGATCTACAAAATTTAGTGCCGAGATATTTAATCTTAATTAGCACCGAAATGTAACAATCCAGACCCACTGCCACGACAACCAAATTGGCCAAATGATCGTGTCATGAGTACCCTCGGACACGCCCACAGCCCGAGCCCTGCTGTATCTCGCACACTCTGCTGCTGTGAGGTCCCTCCCCTCTGCCACAAACATGGCAGGGGTCAGACATCTGCCAATCTTGTCCTTTTGCCTGACCCTGCATTGCATCACAGAACTACATGGCATCAATTAGAGACAAAGGTTCTTCAAGGAGCGTCAAGTCCAGGAAAAAAATCCCTTCCAGCTCACGGGAATTGGCACATCTGATTACATTGGTCTGACCTAAACCTTGTGCTGAAGTCAAGAATTCTGCTGGTGTGAAGGGAGATACGAAGCTCAAGTTTCCTCAATCAAGGCAGAACAATGAATCGGCCGAGGCAGTATTCCTGTCTGCCACATCACAGGAACCTGGTGATGCTGAGGAATGCTCTCCCCGAAGCCGCAGGGGGGTGGGTGCTCATGGCTTTTACTTTTTTGGTAAGTGTTATTTACTTTTGTTTGAAAGATTATATCCCCAAACGGATGCCAGGAGCCAGGAGCTTCTGGTGGGTTTCCCAAGTGGGTGCAGAAGCCCAAAGACTCTGGTCATTCTCGGCTGCTTTCCCAGGCCCTAAGCAGAGAGCTGGATGGGAAGTGGAAGAGCTAGGACATGAACTGGCACCCCTATGAGATGCTGATGCTGCAGGCAGAGGATTAGCCCTCTATGCCACTGTGCTGCCCCCAAAGGCTCTCAGTTTCCACAAGCATCTTTATCAGATGACAATAATAATAAAAAAATTGGTGTGCCTTTTCCTACGGAGTCAGAGTTGGTGCAAATTCCTGGTGCACATGTTACATATGAACCAGGTCACCCTGTCTCAAGGAACCAAGAGATTTGCCCCAGCGCCCACAGAGACCGACACTGTGCAGCCTGTTCAGACACTCAGCTCTCTGCACGTCTCTTCCTGTGTTCTGCTCACTCACCAGACAGTCGAGCTGCGATACGGGACTCTTATTGCCTGGGTGGCTGATGTCCCAGACCTTGACACAGCCCTTGCCGCCGGTGTACACGTGTCGCGTGGGGTTGCTGATGGTCACGGCGCACACCACCTCCCCGTGGTTCAGGGTGTTGATCTGGCGAGCGTGGCGGGGGATCCCGGGGCCGATGAGGGCGTCGGGGGGGAAGGGCACGGGCTGCATCTGGCCGTCCGCCGTCACGTGGAAGGAATAGGCCCTAAGGCAGCGTGGAGAGGACAGAACGGTGCTGACATTAAAAACTGCTTCGCTGGTGAGTGTAAGGAGATGAGAAAAAGCATTTTCAGAGCCACTTGCGGTTTGCCAACAAGTCAAATCTAGCGAGTCCAGAGTTCAAGAACACCATTTTCCAAGTTACATGACCAGATTGACAGAGTACATCCCAGCGGTGGCCCCTGCTCACTGGTGTGCTGCTCGGGAGCTGCTCTAACCTTAGTCCTACTCTTTAACCAAAGAGGACGTGACCCATGAATCCCACAGGACTGACTGAGATCGTCGATGTAAAACACAACACTGCTTCTTCCGGGGACCCGACACCCCTGCCTTTGCCCTCCACACAGAGCGGCCCAGAGGCCTGCAATGAGAGCTTGCCTTGATTGCAGTGACTTACTGAAGAAGTGTAAGTTGTTGTGAGGCTCAGCTCTCTGAATCGCAGACAGCCATGGAGGGCTGGGGGGCGGGGGAGGTAAAGCCCCATTTTAGCACGTTGGTCAGAACCGACCGTGCCAAGCTCCAGGAAATCCAAATAGAATGAGAAATGGAAACAGCACCCAAAGGCCCACCTGTGGGTCCAGGCCAGCAGTGCCGTCCCCAGCTCCTGTCCGGGGAAAGCTTCAGACGAAGGCAATATTTGATTCTGAAGAGCAACTTAAGTGAAGCCATCTCCCTCAACAGACTGACTTTCACTTTTAGGGCTCTGGAGTCCCAGAGGGGACAACTGAGGCTTCTGGAGGCAGGACATGACACAGCGCGTGGGAGGAGCTAAGCCCAGCTCCGAGCTGTCACAGTCAATAGCTCCTTTTGGAAATTACGTCAGCAGGCTGGCCCAAGTTTGGGAATGTGCTCTGTTTATCGGAAGAAGTTTACAAAAGGCATACCAAGGGAAGCACTCGAGGGCACACAAAAAAACAGGAGCTTGGACCAAATGACAAGGAAGTTTTAGAATCAAATTAGAACCTGGCGGTTCCAGAAGACAACGTCTACAGCCTTCAGTCACACACATCCATTCCAGCCCGTCCGAAGGCACTCATGAACTACTCTGCCATGCTGAGGCAAGCAGCAGTGGCAGCACACATCCTGGCTCTGAAGACCCCGCAGCCAGGCGGAGACCACCACACGGCCTCAACGCAAAGTGTGCCGGACTTCTTGTTGGAAAGGAACTGGGGAACCAGGACGCCATGCAGACATTTCTGGAGTCCTAACAACAGGAGCTGGAGACACACTGGGATGTGGGACCACTGCACTGGGTCCTCAGGGGACGGGACAGAACACATTAAGGGGAGAAGATCACGTGGCAGCTTAACAGTGCAGAAGGACAGGGAGAGGGGAGGTGACTGTGAGAGCAGCTGGAAATCCAAACAACAGAGAAGATGAGTCAGGGGAAAATCAATATAGGATCCATATGGGATCCTGGCACACGCAAGGCAAGGACTTCAGGCACTAGGCTACTGTGTTGGGCCCCATACTCAAAATCTTAAGTGAGATGAGAAGGAGTAAGGCAAACATAAATAGCAGAGCAAAACAACAAGCTTTTTACACATTCATTAGCATTTTTTTAACAGACTAGGTACTCTGCAGTTCTGGTGACTCAGAGGTGAACATGACAAAGTCTCTACCCTTCTAGCCTCCATCCTAGAGGGAAGAACAGGCAATACAAATGCAGATAGACAGGTAATTTCAGCAGGCAACACTTTCACACATACACACAGATGCTTTAGAGAAAGGTGGTCAGGGAGCCCTCTGGGAGGGGACAGTACATAAGCTGAGAACTCGAGGAAGGACACAGGCCTTGTACGCTTTCTAACAGGGAAAGTGCCAAGTAAGGGAAGAGCAAATGCGAAGGCCTTGAAGCAGAACTAAGCCAGAGGCCAGAAGGCAGTCAGCGAGTGACAGGACAGGAGCTGAAGAGGCGCAGAGACCATGTCAGTGTGAGCCCTGCAGGCTGCCATGAGTGTACACGTTACGTTGAGTAGGATGGGACCGCAGATTTGGATAAGGGAGTGACACAACTCAACATTTTCAAAAAATCATTCTTGTTGCCTGTTGAATGGATTGCAGGTGGCAAGGCCTTTAGAACAGCACTGAGGATACTGTGGGGGACGTCCTCGCCCCCAGAGTGCCTGACTCTAAGTTCCGGCTCTGCCTCGTCCAGTTACCAGAGACGCACGGGTGAGGGCTCAAGCATTGGGTTCCTGTCACATGTGTAAGAACCGGACAGAGCTCAGGCTCCTGGCTTCTGCCTGACGGAGCTCCAGCTCTGGCAGGCATTTGGGGAGTGACTCAAGAATGCAGGGTCTCTGTTTATGTATCTCTGTCTTACTGTATTCCTGCGTTTGAAATTCAAACAAGGCTTAGGTAGCAATAATCTAGGCCAGCTGGGGCCTGGGTGATATTTGGGAATAGGATCTGTAATTCAGAGGGTCCCGTGGCTAGGGGAGGCTGCACTGGATGGGATGCTGGAATTCCAGAGGTGATACGTGGAGAGGATGCCAGCTCTGCTTTGTGAGGTCATGAACTACGTGTCTTTCACAGCTAGGGGAAAACCTCAACAAGGCTGAACACAGGCTGAAGTGGTGCAAGCATGAACGGAGCACAACTTAAGACACAAAGGCACAGAAGTCTGGTTGTGGAGGGAGCTGTGAGGGGCAGGCATTGCAAGGGAAGCGACAGTCTTAGGAGACAACCAGGCATCAACTCAGCCAAGAAGGGAAGGCAGTGACGCTAGTAGAGAAGGGCTGAAATTCCAAGCGTTGGCAACCGAGAAAGAAGTTAACTGGCTTAGCAATCAGGAGGTCATGCAGACTCCAAGTTCATATGGTGTTACACATTCTTAATAGTAATTTATTTGAAAAGACATTCCTTCTCCCCTCTGGAATCACTAAATATTCTCTAAAGAGCCTTGAGAATTTAAACAGCTAAGAAATCAAGCAAACACTTTCTTTTAAGGTCTTCACCTGAATATTTCTTCAGTTTAACCATAACCACTCTATGAGCATCTGCCCCATTCCTGGACTTGCCTTCTAGGGTCTAAATGCCTCCCAAAAGCTCACTGAGTCAAGGATGAAATGTAGCTTTTTGTTATACTATTTGTATAATCCAAGATAGTCAGAACTGGGAAAAACAAATAAAGTTTTGGTAGAAACTTAGCAGATTTCAAACACATTGTTTAACGCCTAGCTAGCAAAGGGCACAGGGCTGGTAAGCAAAGGAATCAAAGAAAATCCAGGTGCCAAGGACTGCTCTCTTTTCTATGCAAGCAAACTGTACTTAAGCACCCCCTTACCCACATGTGGACAACACCTAAGTGGCTTATAATCTAGGAAAGATGATACAAAGGGACGAGAGTCACTACAACGCTAGCTCTCACTGTGATGGAAATATGATTCTGGTGTGGTTGTAAAAGGCAAAATGAAGGTTATATTTCATGGGAGACACGATAGTCGACAGGGATTTGAAAGAATGGAAGGATCTCATCAAAGAGGAATAGAGATGGAAAATACACGCCAAGTGACAGGAGTGGTAGAACAGAAGGGATCCCAAAGAAAGCGATCAGATAAGCTGGGAAGTTCCTGGATTAGTTTTAATCCAGGAATTCCTTTATTTAACAATGACCCCAGTATGTACCGGGAAGGCTTGGCCAGAACAAAGTTCAATAAAATACAACAGCCACATCTCAATACAACACCAACAAAGGAGACAGAATTTGGTTTTCTTTAGAGAGATGAGATGTGGTCTTTCTCTGGACACAAAGTATTCACAAAATAGCAAGAAGCATAACCTACAAGAGGAATAAGGAATTACATTATTTGGATATTCTAGACACTAGGAGATCCAGACTTGGCAAGGTCAATAAAAAGCTGGAACTAACAGGACATGTAATTCTGCAGGCTTTAATAAGCTGAAAGGAGGGAACAAATAAAAACTGAGTTTTGAGCTCGATACCAGAAACAGGTTACCGGAACTGGCGTCGTGGTGCAGCACTTTACTTGCAGTATTAGCACGCCCACTGAGCACTGGTTCCAATCCTGGCTACTCCAGCTCCTTGCTAATGAGCCTGGGCAAGCAGTGGAAGAATGCTTGGACCCTTGTCACAGGTAGGAGATCTGAATGGAGTTCAGGGCTTCTGGGTGTGGCCCGGCCCAGCCCTGGCTGACATGGTCATTCCAGAACTGACCCAACAGCGAAGACTGCTCTCACTCTCTCTCCTGTAACTACACCTTTCAAACAAATAGATCCTAAACATACCAAAAAGGGCCAACTGGGAGAAAATCCCAGCCTGAAAGAGTACTTTCTGAATATAATAAATCTAAAGGTTAGGCAATACTCAAGGTAAGCCCAACAAACAACCAGGGATGGTGAGGGAGGGCTCAGGCAATCAGAAAAGTGTAGTGACCTGCATGGCTCTCACACGTGCAACAGGGGAAGTGACAAGAGTGAGAACTGGTTCTCCATCGGACATGCTGCAGAGGGTATAAAACAGCTGAGGCAGCTGTTACATGTACACTTTTCGGGAAGGATTTTGCTGGAATCTATCCAAGCACCTGTGATTGGTAACAATAATCAGTGTTAGTGTATCTGATTAGCACCTTTTGATGAAGGCCCAACAACATGATGAAGAACCTTGTCCTTCTCACCTCAACCTCATGGGAACTCTCCATGGAGCTCAGGCCCATTATGCTGGATGAAAATGGTGTTTTGCGATACTTTCTCCAAGGTTTCCACACCTCACAAGATGGACTACACCTTGAATTCACAGTAAAGGTCTGCTTACTGACTTCTATGAAGTATGGCTGAAAACTGGGTTCTAATTAGCAGATAGTAGCACCAGTTAGTTCACCAACATACACATGTTGAAGGTTTTGATGCAAAACTGCTTCCATCTTGAAAAACGTGCTTTTATAAAACCAGGGGAAAACAGACAAACACTGCTGTATTGTGAGAAAGATCGCTACCTATAAACCTTAGCTGCTTTGTATTTGCCTCATTCACGTGTCATATTCCGTGACATGGATTTTAGCAAGCCAGGTAGAATATTTGGAAAGTCCGACTCAAAGAGCAGGTGAAGGAGAAAGTCCCTTTTTTGCTGATGCTGAAATTAAAATATGTCTTTCAAATTACATATTACATGAGAATGCCTGTTAATTCACCCCAATAGCTGAGGGCACATAATGTGAATTATCAAGTAAATGAAGCTTTATTCAATTTGTAAAATAAATTTCATGATGATTTCTGGTAATGTCAAGCAATTCATTTTGTATGAACAATCGGGACAGAGAGGCACAATGTTGGGAGCCTTTCTGGGGGGAGGCACTTACTTGGTACATGTGTATGGCAGCAGAAACCTTCAGCTGACTATGCTTTAAGCCCTAGTGCACTTACAAAGGCTTCCTGTTGCAGGGCATGCAAACAACACACTTCATGACTGTCTATGTGGACAGCTATGTAATTGTCATAATCATTTTTGTTGTAAAAATCTATCATAAAAACAGACCACTTCTATATGCACAAATAAATGTGAATATTTATGTCTCAATGCCCTTTTACCTAAAGATACAGCAGTGACGGAAAGCAAGGAATCCAGCTGACTCGATCAAATTGTCTTTGTCAAGTCTGCCCTTACAGAACATTGTGTCTTGTATTATATAAATATCTGAAAACTGGTAATATTCTCGGGCAACGGTAAAGGCACAAAGGCCCTCAAGGTCACTGAACAGCCGCCATGCACACATGGTGTTGGATATGAGACGTGAACGCAATGTTCACCCTAACACCCTTCTTGGTGAGAAAATGCCACACGTGGCACAGCTGAGCCAAAGAAAGCTCACCAACTTAAGATCCTGTTAGTATAACTAAAGCCACCTTTTCCAGTGGTCACATGTTAGAGTCAAAATCAAGTTTGAGTTGTCACAACACATAGTCCAGAACAGTGAAGACTCTGTAGTCTCTCAGCCACACCACACGCTTTCAGGTATTCCTGATGAAGTGTCGAACGAGACGTGGTATTCTCATCAGTTTGTCCAAAAGAAACAGAACAATTTTGCACTCCAAGGAGCAAGGTTAGCGGAATGGAAGGAGCTCGGCTCAACGCTTAGAAGTACAAATGAGACCAGCTGTGATTCAACCCTTCAGCCTTCCCACCCTGAAGCCTTGCCTGGCTACTTCTCTGAACACACCCAACGCATTTATACCTACACAGGCCTCCACGTAGCAGGTGCGACAAGACACTTCACCTCAGCCACTCACTCTATTGGTGACACACTCACTAATGGCGAAAACAGGTTCTCGAAGTGGTAACTGCACAGCACGTGAGAGAAGGCAGGACCAGTTCCAAAGAGGAGCTCCTTCATCTCCCCAAGAAATTCACATGAAATTTACAGGCACTTGAATTCTTATTTGATTAATCCTATGACCTTGTTATTTAGTCACTGCTTGAAATAGACTAAACTTTCACCTTCAAATATATCAGAGTTCTTAGTCAATAAGACTTGTCAGTCAGTCAACAACTATTTGTAGAACGCACGCAGGTACACAGAATTTTATGGTAATTGATATTTATACCTTCGACTTTCAAGCAACTCAAAGTCTAATTTGCCTTGTCTCCCTTATTAATCAGTCAAATATTTACTGAGCAACTTGGCTGTGGCACAGGCTTTGTGTCTGATGAATGAGGAAGTTTACTGCAGAATCTGTAGAGAAGTTAGTAAGAGAAGAGGGAAATGAGAATCTGACTTATCAGATGGAAAGTGAACAAAAGGTCAAGGTCAGGCATGTTCAACGTGGAGGGGGCAGTAAAGAAAAACAGAAGAAACACCAGAGTGACAGCTACACGCCCGAGTATGCAGTCAGGATAAAGCAGCAGTGGGAGGTCTGAGAAGGAAGAGGCCAGCATGCGCTTATGCACTGACTGGACAAGTTTATTTCCTAAGGACCAACTGTGAACTGCCTACCCTTCTGCGCAGCAGAGCCATTGCTGCAACTATACAGCAGAAAGTTCTGCTCTGCTTTCGTCAAAGTTGTATTCAGGTGGAGAGAGGCAGCTACGGGCTATAAATAGGCATTCAAAAGTAGACTCTGAGGGAATAACAGAGAAGAGGATATGTTAAGACACAGTTGTCAGGATAGAATCCTCTGAGAAGATGATAGCTGAGCAGAAACGCGAAATGAGATAGTAAGCCACAGAAAATGTTCTGAAGGAGGAAGAGCAAATGCTCGGGGGCAGGCACACCATTAGGGAAACCTTAGGGAGAACGGGACTTCAGTTTGCTACTGAGAGTCGAGTTTGGATGGCACCAGAGATGACACGGCTGGTCAGTGCAGGGCGTATAAAATGACAGAGGATGTCGACAGAAAAAGTGAAAACAAAGACGTAAATATGTGACTACCAAGCTACGCAGGGTCTGCTTCCTCCAGGAAAGAAGACATTTTTTGCAGCCAGGTTTGCAAGGAAAAGGCAGTACTACTGTAAAGTCTCCATCTCTAAGAAGAGGAAGCCAATTAGCACAGACAAGTCTACGTGAGCAGCGACAACACAGCACCCTGTATGAAAATGGAGCTGTGCGGAAGGCAGCCTGATGGGAAGAGCGGAACGGACGCCATGTGGCTGGAACAACTGATGCGTGTCTTTCCCGCTCAATGCGGTTGTGAACGCAGCCTGCAAATACCCCATCAATAAGCAACCTCTCCTGAGAACAACGGATCACTCCTGTCTCCTCTAGCCTTTGAAGTGTGGCAAGTCTTTTTCCTCCATGTTCCGATTCTGAGCGGCCAACTTTGCACATAATAACCAGCCTTTCTGTGCAAAGACTCGCCTGGAAATCAGCAACAGACACGGAGAAGACCCGGCTGTCAGAGACGCTTCTGTAAAGTGCATTTCCATATTAAAGCTCGAGATTTTAAGCCCAACATGGAAAACTCCTCCTCATTATCTCTTTTCTTATGCGAAGAGAAAATGAAAACTATTTTGCAAGGCTAAAAAAAAAAAAAAAAAACAACCTCACACAAGTCACGGCAAAGCTCTCTAACCCATTCAGCAGTACTCAACGTGCATGCGCAGGGCCAGCGAGGGCACAGGCCCAGCAGAGGCGCAGCACAAAGGCACGAAGGTACTCACGGCTTTCCTCCAGGAATGCCCGTCAGGTTCGGAGGTATTGCAGGCACACGCATGTGATGGTGTGGATCAAATCCCACCTAGGATTTTTAAGAACAAAAACAACAAAACCACAGTCACACTAAGTTGTTTTATGTTACAAAATACCTTTTCTAACACCCAGGAGAATGCATCCTTTGACAGTAAGCTATCAGTCATATTCATATGAGTGGACTGATGCTCAGGACTTACTAGGAATACACCTGGAGGCAGAGCTTAGGCGAGAATGGGTGACAGAAATAAAGAGATTATACCAAACCGCTCCTGATACTACGTGATGTAATTTTTTAGACTTAAATTATGCAAAATAGGCCCCAGTGTGACAGCTCAACTAGCTAATCCTCTGCCTTACAGTTTCTCCTTCCCATGTGGGTGCTGGTTCATGTCCCAGTTACTCCATTTCCAACCCAGCTCCCTTCTTCAGAGCCTTGGGAACCTGCACCCACATGGGAGAACTGGAAGAAGCTCCTGGCTTCGGAGAGGCTCAGCTCCAGCCACTGTGGCCATTTGGGGAGTGAACCAGCAAATAGAAGATGTTTTTCTCTCTCTCTGCCTGTCTCTTCTGCTCTCTGTAAATCTGCCTTTCCAATAAAAATAAATAAATCTCAACAAATCCGAAATTAAAAAAAATAAAGTGGTATAATCATATGTAGCCTAATTTATAAGTGTTAAACCCCTCTATAAACATCTCACATTATATAAACTGCATTTAAAAAACGTGCTCTGGACTACTCTTCCAGCGGCAGACACGCACCACGGGTGACCGTCCGTAGGCGGCGGCGGCAGCAGCAGCAGCAGCGGCAGCGCTCATCTGTGGGGAGATGTTGTGCAGCCCAGCATAGGCGGCTCCGGGGCTGGTCAGCTCTCCATTCATGCCAGCGTGGGGCACGATACCAAATGGGGTTGGATATGGACAAGGTACTGCCATTGGGGTCCTCAGACTGGAAGCTTCAGAACAAAATGGAAGAAAGAGAAAAAAAAAATCAAGAATACAGGAAATGATACTGAAGATATTCTTAAACATGTGAAAAAACGAAACGTATGGTTCGCACAAACTTATTTTAACATTTTCCAACGTCATTCAAGCCTTCATTCACTAAACATTTACCATGCACCAGACCTGGGGAATTCCAGGAGCTTGGTTTGAATTGCTCATTAGTGTTTTTAATTGCTTTAGATTCTCTTTAAACAGAAGCGCAAACATAGAGAAAAACCTTTTTCTTACTAACCCAAGGGGTCAACTCCTGGTGGTTTTCCAGGTGCAGGCCTCAGTCCGGGAGTGGAGTTACTGCCTGGAGTGGGAGCGTCAGTTCGTGGAGTGGGGGTATTGGACTTTGAGACAGGAGTGGTAGACTTTTCATTCTGACAAAAGATGCCATGAAATGCACCAGCAATTAGAACATGGTTTTAATAATGGTGTTAAACATTCAAAAGGCCAGCAAAGGAAAAAGGATAAAAAAGAAAAAGTCCAAAAGATTCCATAGCCTGAGCTGCTACTCTCATTAATTAAACTGAGCTAACAAAGAAACAAGGAATTCCTTAGGACCATGGAAATCAATGAAGACATAAGCTTGAATTCAGAGAGCCATCACCTCCAGGAAGCTAGGCTGTCAGACAAAGGCTAGAGAAGGCTGACAAACTACAGCACCCTTGACCTTGACTGGAGAACCTGCTAATGGCTTTGGTTTAAAACTCTGGGATCTGAGTTGGGTTCCTGGCAGAGGCTGCCCGGTTTCAGGATCCATTAGAAGAACCATCACAGACTCTGAGCACACCGAACATGCCGCAACAGGGCAGTAGAAGGTCACAAACAAAGGTGGCAAACAACCTAGCCCTCTGTCAGAGCCCTCTCATCTGTGGACAGATGGAGGAATTTCCTTGCCTACAGCTGTGAATTCAAAAGGCTATTTGGACAACTAAACTCATCTCTCATCTCTCTCTAACAAGGAGCTAACTGGTGAGGAGAAGAGAGGTTGCTCCACAGCAAATTAACTACACACGACCTAAGAAGAGGGGGTGCAGATCATGCTGACTCCTGAGCGATCTGCTTCTGCTTCGTGATTGGCTCAAAGGTAGACTGTTGCAAATGACAGATTACTTCTTAGATAGGAAGAGAAAATTATTACAGTCATATGTAGCTTGGTAACTGAAACAAAACCAGCAACGAAATCATATCCAAGGCCCAAGCTAAAGTTACCATAAACCACTGGTGACAAAACCAACTCTGCAACTCCAACACCTATTTTTCATCTTTCGTAAGACACATTTCACTCATTGTTCCAGGACCCCTCTCCACTGTTCGTGTAAAACACCTCACAAGACACCTACCCCCAACAGGCTAGAAAACGCATTGGTCACTTAGAGGACACATACCTACATCCAGAAATCAGAATGTGAATACAAACACTTCTAAAAAGTTTAAAATTGAACCCAACCACGTCAAACCAGGGACTGGCAAAGGCGAAGGGCAGCTTACAAGGCTGAGTTCTTTGGATTTGGACGAAGGAGTACTGCTGGAAGACGCAATGGACGCGGGGCTGATGGGGGCATCTTTCTTGAGCAGGCGCGTCTTGTCCAGGCCATTCTCTCTCGGGGAATGTGCAGGGCTCCCTCGGGGGGAAGAGGGGTCCTAGGGAAAGAACACCACGGAGTCCAGCACAGTCACAGGGCCGGAGGGGCGGGGGCGGGTCTTCAGTGTGGCCTTTGCTGACTAAAGCATTGAACAGCTTAGACACGCAACACGTTCCAGGATAGAGTCTAACAATTCACTGAGATTGCCAATAAAAAATACTTGGTGTGGAGGCTGAGCAAATGTTACACTATTTAGTATTGTCATATGATCATAAATTTGCCACGTACATAAAAAGTGGCTCCCTTTAGCAATCGAGAACGTTGGGATACAAGTTGCTTGGACAGCAGCGTTTGCTAAGCTGGGGAAGAGAAGGAAGGTAAGAGTTGCCGCAAACATACCTCATTGGACACATCAACCACCAAGTTGTCATCACTCTTCTCACCGTCGCTATCCTGCAAGGACAAGTGAGAAGCATCATCTCCTGCCTCTGCCCAGAGACACAGCTCACGTTTAGCCAGGTCAACATAAGAAGTCCACAGCAAATCTTAGAAAAACAAGGTGCATCAGGGTTAAAGAGCTTACTAGGTACTATACTCCTTAATCTCATGATGACATTCTGAGGTGGCTAACGGAGTCCCATGTTTGCTCCCCCCCCCCCCCAAAAAAAATTGCTGATGGCTTATCAGAGTACTGGCTCACCTAGGCTAACCCTAACCTGCAGGTGGACATGGTTCGGTCTGCCAGTTGTTTTTTTTTTAAAAACTGAAGAAGTAGTCATACTGTTACAACTTGACAGTGAAAATCCAGATTTCATCTGCTTCTCCTTAGTCCTGTGATCTGCACAGACCCTAAAGGGAAGCAAGCCCTCACACGGGCAGGGACATTCTGGGCATCTCTGAAGTGACACCCCACAAAATCTGGAATACTCTTTAGATACTCAGTTCACCCAAGCATTTTAACAATTTTTGTCCTATGATTCTGCATTTTTTTTAACATCTCTGGTTAATCACAGAAAACTCAAACACCTTCAAATATACAAGGAAATGTATGTTCATATAGAGAAGCAATGACAGACTAGCCCAGCCCTCTATAAGCCACTTGATGAAGCAGTTTATCTAGTCATACACACGGGTACAAGCCCAGGCCTACACAGGACTTCAAGCTGGCCAAAGGCCACAAAGCTTTGCTTGTAGTCAAGCATTTTTTTCTCCTGAAAGATACTGTTTATCCTGTGTTCTCCAGGGTTTCTGGTAACGGTCAAAGAAGAAAGCTGCCCACGATAACAGAGCGCGGAGAGCCGGCATCCCCAAAGCAAAGGAGGAGGAACTGACGTAGCGAGCTGCGATTTCCTTCTCTTCTGTCTTCTGCTTTTTGCTCTCCGAGGAGTAGTCCGTGGAGTTCCTGTGTTTCTCGGCGCCTCGGAAGCTGGCTGACGGGGACACAGAGGAGCTCTGCAATTAGAAGAGCAAGCGGAGTGGAGAAATCAACAACCATTACACGTCTCTGATTTTCAACACATTTATATACTTCAGAGGCAGAGTTCCCATCCTCTGCTTCGTTCCACTAGTGCCTGCAGTGGACAGCACTGGGCCAGACTGTAGCCAGGCACTAGGATCTCAACCCAGGGGACACAACAGGAACCCCATCACTTCCCCATCCACCACTGCCTCCTGTGATCTGCACTAGCAGAAAGCTGGAGGCAGGAGCCTGGGCAGGGTGGGGAAGCCAAATAAACACTCAGGGATGTTGGAACCAGCATCTTAAGTGCTACACTAAACACTCCACCCCCTCCTTTTGTTCATCAGTATACACCCTTGTAAAGAAATAAGGAACAAAGACCAAGAAAAGGGAGGCAGAGATGAACCCGGGGAAGAAGTGAGCCATAGATGGTAGGGGACAGCATGAACTCCAAACAGAGCAGAGCAAGACTGGTCCAGAGGGGCTGTTCATGTTGCAGTCTGAGAGTACTTGTAGGAAGCTGGGAAAGGAAGACCCAAGGGAAAAGGGTAGAGAGAAAAGGGAAGCTTTCAGATTTCTTTTTACAGCTGCTTGCTAATGCTACATTAGCATTTTAAATTTCTAAAAAGAAATTATGAATAGAAGAGAAATTAGAAGATAATTAGTAACTCTTCAAACAAACAAACACAAAAATTTTTGGTGATCTGAGCAGCCAAAAGGTGTGGGCATGCCAAAAAAGCCCTATTTGCAGACTTGCACTTGGCTCCGCATCTTAAGGGTCTGGAAGGTACAGAATTGCAGGAAAACACCTGGAGAAACGTACTTTATTCCTTTGTTAGTTACTCATTTTCATGAGCCTGCTACTTCCTGTTACCTCTCTCGAAGCCCACTGGGGCTGAGCAGTGGACAAGGAAGGTCATGGCTCTTGCAATGGGCCAGGAGCCATCATATAGCACAAGCCACATCCTTCAGGCAGCTCTCCAACGAAAGCGCCCTCTTACAGAACACAAACACTGTGGCTAAGAGATGAGTCCCAGCGAACAAATATAGGCCATGGTGGCCTATTCAGATGACAGGAAAGCTTCAAAATCACCAGTGGAAAAGTAAAGAATGTGTCAACAGAAGCTATGATTACCCTCCAAAACCCGCTAACTAAAATGGAGACGTAAGTAAAGCTCACGTGGGAAACGGGGAGCTAGACCCAGGGTAGAACTGCCCTGGGGAGGGGCTTGGGGGAGGCCTGGCAGAGGGCACAGACCCAGGGTAGAACTGCCCTGGGGAGGGGCTTGGGGGAGGCCTGGCAGAGGGCACTATGGCAGGACTCTCGGAGAACTCAGAAGACCATGCAGAGATGAAATATCTGAACAAAAGGTCTACAAAGAACACCCCCCATTACAGCTTCTGCCTGGTATCAAATCCATTCAAACCAAACTCTGAAAGACTAACTTTGAACTTGTGTATGTATATGTGTGAGTGTGTACTCGTTCTAAGTCTGTGTGTATACGTGCATGTGTTTGCTCTAAGTCTTTGGGTAATAATTAACATCTATAAAGACATAAACATTTAAAACAGCCTTTCAATTAATTACTCAAGGCAACATGATAGCAGCACTTTGGGCTCTATAACCCTGTTTATTTCCGCTGAGCCACACTGTCTTTCGTGCTGAACACTGTCACATGAGGTTGGTAAAGGAAGATGAGTAACTGCTCCTTGTTCGGGTTAGATTTCTTAAACCCTTCTCTGCAGTGCCAGATTCTCAAGGCTTTTAATAAAAAATATTCTGCCAATTGCATGCACCAAAAGTGTAACTATCCCTGACCCAACAGCTGAATGTAACTGAAGCAGCAAAAAAAAAAAAAAAATTAGATATTTTTCTGTAAGGTAGAGAACTGAAACAAAACATTACAAGCCAAACCCTTGTGCAAACAACTAGACTGTTTCTAGATTGTCTTAACTTTATCTGCAGTGATAACAAACTTCATTCCTGAGCCACAAGTCTTGGTTGGCTCACCACTCCTGCTTTGTATTGCTCTGATGGCACAAGACAGCACAATCAGGCTTACTGTCCATCCCAAGAATACACCAGCTGAGAGCTACTACAGACCACAGTTCATGCAGAAACCCGCATCTAGTTCTGGATTCCTCAGGTTGTCTTCCTGTTTCAAAGATGACCGTTTTTTCTAAACTTCTTTATAACAACGACTGGTTTCCCAAGTACAGAGTATGGCTGTTTTCCCTCATCAATGCCCCAACACAGCACGCTGGCCACATGCCTTCCACAGATCTACACACCTATCCCCCCACCGCTCAGTATTATTCTCACTACTCAATTGCCCTGTATTCAGCATCCATCTTCTGAAACCCTCCCCTTCCTTAAGAAGTAGCTCTAATGTCACTTTGAAAGCTTCCTCAGATGTTGTGAGGCAGAATTCATCGCTCATTCTTTGTTCTCGTAACATTTTATTCCCCCAGTTGACAGAGAACTTCAATCAATGCAGTGCTATTTGTTTACAGGGCCACTTCCCACTCCAGGCTGTGGGTTCCTAGGGGCACGCGGCACAGTGAGCAGAGCACTGTCCAGAAATGTTTTGAACACAAACAAATGAACATCTCCTCTGTATGCACACCTCAATCTAATCCGATATACACTGCTTTTCAGAGGACCAAGATGAACCATTCCATGAGAACCATTCCCTGGAGTAAGCTATGGGTAATGCTGCCCCAAGGAACTGGGAATCTGGCACCTGTCTCTCTTTTTCACCTTTTCCTGCCCCTAAATGTCTTCATTCTATTAATCAAATATTTCACAAAAAAAAGAAAACTGAATATTTGTGCGCCATGAACTTCCTTTCGCTTCTGACATACTCCGAGAGTTATTTACATTTTATTGAAAAAGGAAAATGGATTTCTAAACAATGATAAAACATTTTCTATAAAATTTTAACACTAAATGTTAACACCTACTTACGCATTTATGCTCGCTGGCACACATGTGCAATTATAGGAGGTTGTGTTAATTTTTTTTAATATAAAGATCTATTTATCGGAAAGGCTGCATTAAAGACACAGATCTTCTATCCACTGGTTCACCCCTCAAATGGTTGCAGACACCCAAGGCTGGACAGGCAGTAGCCAGGAGCTTCACTCAGGTTGCCACATGAGTGGCACGTACCAAGTCCTGAGCCATTGTCTGCTGTCTTCACTGGCAGAATAGCAGGGAGCCAGATCAGAAGTGAAGCAGCACCATGTGGGATGCAGCTTGACCCACTATGCCAACAAGCCAACTGCAACTTTATATTTCCTTCTTGTAAGCTGCATGTTTCTGGTTATAAAGACAACATTTTATTGTTGGATTTTACTACAGATTAGAGTTGCATGTTTACTATAGAAAAAAAAATTTCCTGGAAGAACAGTAAGTTAATTATCATTAGCATTTAGAGGTTAAGCTGTGCAATGGGCACTGGGGCACTCAGCGAAGTTCTAATAACATAATTGCTCTGGAATCAAATTGGACCTGGCACAGACTCTCATCACCAATCTCCAACGTTCGCTTTCTGCTGCTGGAAGGTCACTTGGAGCTCCACTGGGCACGTGAGTCGGAGATTAAATAAATACTGATAAAGAAGAAAAAACCCTGCTTTTACTAGAGAAGGTTATTTTTATTTCTCTGTGATGACTTTAAAAGCTGAATTAGGGCACAGCATGGTGGTGCTGCAGTGGGTTAAGCAGCATGTTGGATGCTTGCACTCAAGCCCTGGGGACCCAGTATTTGTGAGTCAGCTTCCTGACGACACTTGCAGAGACACCAGGTGACACACCTGGCGTTCTTTCAGCCAGAGGACACCTGGATGGAGTTACTGGCTAGTACCTGGCCGAGCCTTCGGTGCTGGAGGGATTTAACTAGTGAAACAGGTGATGGAAGCCACTTCTGACTCTCTCCACCCACCTGATCCCAACCTCTTGTCATCATACCTTTCAAATAAACTTAAAAAACAAACAACAAACAAAAAAACCTCAACTAGATATCTCCCCTAGCATATGTAAGAAACTTCCTGGAACTCCACCATGACCCTGTATAAATCTACAAATCCAGAAACATTAAACACAAACCTTTTCTCATTAGTCTGAACATGCATATATACATATCAGCAAAATCATCATGAATGGAGCCATGGTCAGAAGCAAAGTCCAACGCAAAGCGAGTCACACCTCCTGAGTGTGAGCCCTTAGCAAAGAAAGCTCTGCCCTGGAAATGGTAAATAATCATGCTGGCTTTTCTTAGAGGCAATATATTTAATTAAAGACTTAATTAAAGAAAAGGGGATGGAGTCAAGGAAAATGCAAGGAAAAAATTAAAATAAAATTCCTAAGTCTCGGCAGCAAAATATAAGGTTTAATGACAGCTGCTCCTCAGGTCTTCATTTTAAATTAAGAAAAGTCCACAATGCAGTGTACAATCCACACTAGAGCTCACCCAGGCTGCTGACCAAACTCATTGGAAAATTCCCGACACCTCCAGCAGCTTGAAAGGGAGGGGCCCACACCTCCACCTTTCTTCCTCTGAGACTTCCAAGATCAAAGTTGGCCACATATATGAAAGAGTTCCATAAAGTACACCCCTTCCCAAGGAACCAGTCTTGTTATAATTAACTAATTTTAATAACAGGGAGTATGCATTTTAATAGCAGGCAAGAGTACCTCCCTGGAGTCAGACTGCCGGGGTCTGAGTCTGGAGTTTTCCACTTAATAGTTGTGTATTGCCAGAGGGATGCTAGCTTTTCTGAAGTCTGAGACTGGGATAACAAAACCTCAACTGCACACCCCCAGGGCACTTGGAGGACTAAGAAAAAATATCTACATAAAACATAAGGCATGGTCCGGGCCCCATAACCCAGCAAGGTCAAATGTAGTACCATCACTGCCATTACTACAAGGATTCAGAATGTGAGCCAGTGTGGACCTCCGATTTTAAACCTCATGTTAAGTGTTACAG